GAGCTACGTAGTAATAAGTAGTTGTATGGTATATACTTGTATCATTGTAGTGTGTTACGCTTTTATCTCCTGCATATCAGTATAGTACGTACACTTACTCAACTACACATATCATAAATGTAGTTTTCTTTCGTCAAGCAATACAAAATGTATTTTTCTTGTCCCCATCCTTTATAATTTGATACGTATACGAGCCAGAAACTATCAGACAAAGAAAAAAAAGGCTATAGTTTTTGACAACTATTTTCAATAGAAAAGTCAGTATTAAACTATAAAATATGTTTGCTAAACTGACGATCGAGCTCATAAATATCAACGGCATTTTTTCCTATCAATAAATGAGATAAAGAAATAAACATCAAAACAGCTACTGTGACTAAGAGTAATTGTTTTGTCTAACTTGTTGGAGTGATCCATATAATTTTGAAGAATTTTCCAAGGATTGAACCAATACCACTAAAGACAACACAACCATACAACACCAACTTTTTTTCATTCTGAAACAATCAACAACTAGATTTATTATTACGTAGCAATATAAAAATGGTTTTTCTCCAAGAAAAATATATATACATAAATAGTTACAAGTATTTATTAACGATGCAGGTGGTCGTTACACCACCGACTTAAATTCATTTCTCGAGTTTTGAGGAGCAATATTGCATGCAAACATTTTTCCAATAAATTAAATAGAACAAAAAAAAAGCCAGTTGACATTCTTTTTCATTACAATTTATACGCATCGAATCATCGATCTCTTTCACCTTACATAGTAGCTCATACCCCCCTCTTTTGACTTTGAAATTTTGTACGAGTTTTTAAGTTTTTTTTTTTCATCGTTTACAACTCACACAATTAATTATGGTACAAATCACTAAACCTTTCAAGTTTTAGTTCATGGCTTATAAACTCAATTAACGATTAGATATATATGCATCTTGTTTTACGAGATACCTTTACTTTATCCATTTTATTTTGGACGATATTTCAATAATTTGATTTGAAAATACGTCGTATAGACGATCTC